AAAACACATCCCCTCATTGTGTTCAGCACACTTTTCCACACGTCTGAAGCAAAAATCATCAACATTTTCTGGTTTCACCTTCTTTAACCCTTGTGTCCTGCCCATGTTTGTGTTGTGCACAGCCCATGTCCCTGTGTGTTTTTGTGTAGATGATGTTTGAACAGCATTATTAACCAAATATGTTGACACCACTTCTGTTAAGCTCCAAACTTAGATGTGATTACTCACAAAGACTCAGAAGTGTTGGTTTTTCACTTGCCAGTTTTACAGATGTGTGGAGTAGGATCCTGAACAAACACTTTAGATTAAAACCTTTGGATTAAAACCATCCAAACCAAATAAATGTTGCCAATGCTTTGCAAGGGCCATGGTAAAACCAGATGTACTTGCTCTGGCAGCATTTTGCGGAACCTCTTTCAGCAGAAGGTCGTGTGCTCCTTGTCTTTGTGCTCATTGGTTGGAGGTGAATGGTGTAGAGCTCTAGCATTCTTTCAAATGAAGAATCTTTTGTCTCATTGTCTTTGTACTGCTACAATTAGAGTATATTAGAGGTCGCATTGTGTCACTGACTGTAAAATATCTGATAGCCACTCCCTGTTTCCCATGCCACCAACCACACAGGCTCTGAAATGTATGTCACGATGTGTGTTCGTGTCAATAGCGATGGCAGCGTCCAAACAACAATGGTCTGACTAAAAATATTTCTAACATTCTTATTTGTGTAATAAATTAACCTCTGATCAGCCTTCAAAAGAGGAAAACCTGGTCTGTGATGACGACTCCATCAGTTTTTTAATGTTGTTCATGCTGTTCTTAAACCAAAATGACTGATGATATGATGTGTTTGGATTTTACTGTATCTTATGAGTTGATCTTAAAATTAACAGAAAAAAACTACTATTTTTTACATGTTGTGATCACACTCTGATGGGGTAACACACAGGTGGGTGGCAGATTAAAGAAAAATCTTGATTAAATGAGTGGAAAATGTAAAATAAAAGTACAGGGCTCACTTCTTAACAATAACTTCCTGGACTTAACCTAACCTTACCTTCATGATGTCACTCTAAAACTCTGACTGGGGACCAGATGCTGGTCAGAAGGCTGAGTCACCACAGTGCGAGTGCGTGAACAGGTGTATGTGCCCACAGTGTGAGTAATACAGGCACATACACACTGTTTTCATTACTTTAGGGGACATTACCCTAACCTGAACCTAACCTTAACCAAGTCTTCACACACGCACACACACATAGAACAGTTATGTAAGAAGAAGAAAATGTAAAATAAAATAAAATGTGCTTGAAAAATTCCACAAGAGAGGTTAACACTAACCAGTCATAATTCTAGCTATATGTATTATGTATTATTATAAATGTTAATTTATCTGCTATCAACAAAAATCAAATTTTAAATGTTTTAAAATGACCAACTTTGCCGTATTTTACTCACTTTATTTTATTTGACACTTCTAGAAGGAGAACATCAAACAATAATGTCAAGCATAACTTCTTTCTACTGTGGTCCAAGTGTTATAATCTTTATGTATTTTAATATGCAAAGGTCGCTATTCCAATTTCTACTTATTAACAAAGTACATTTACTCAAGGGAGTGTACTTCAGTGCAAGGTTTTGGTATTTTGCTTTAATATTTCCATTTGATACTACTTTATACTTGACTACATTTCTACTACCTCATTTAATTAGGGTTCTAAATTACTATTTTGCAAAAGATTTTACATGCTAATTAAAAATAATGCATTGCCATAGGTACAGTGCATTCTTTTTTGAAACTTGTTTTCTTTTAATCTTTATATTACCAAGAGGTCCATTGGAGCTCTAGATCTTTTTTACAAAATCATAATAAATATGGGTCAAAAGGAGGGCGGAGAGGATCACTACAGACCTCTCACACCCCGGACACAATCTGTTTGAACTCCTCCCCTCTGGACGGCGCTACAGGTCACTGTGCACTAAAACAACCAGGGACAGGGACAGTTTCATCCCCCAGGCTGTCACTCTGATGAACACTTAACCAACGACAGTATGACTCGACAATAATCCTCAGTGCAATACCTGTAAATATACCCCGTGCAGATTATTCAGATCCATACGGGTCTCTATTTTTAAGTACTCTATTTTTATTCTTAGTTTTATCTCCTTTCCTAATGAACATTCCTTTGTCTGTTTGCATTGTTTATTGCTTGTTTATACTGTTTACTTTGTTATACTATATAGCTTATATTGGTATATTGTTTACTTGCCCCTTGCTGTTGCCTTACATAAAGAACATACACATTGAGAGCTGCTGTACCAGAGTCAAATTCCTCAAATCAACAAAATAATAACAATATCCTAAACTGACAACAAAAATAATTACAATCACATCATCCCATCAAATAAATTAGATGTATCCTTAAGAATATTGTTAAGTAAAAATTTTAATTCCCTCAACGGAAGAAGAATTTCCTGTTTCAGGCTACATTGCAAATGCTTCAGTAAACTGGATACCACTGGAAACCAGACTTCCCGTATCAGAGTTGATATGAAACTAATCTCATCTGTGTGTCGACACTGATAAGCCACAACTCTTAAATTCTACTTACACGTGACTGCTTCGGTAATATAATGCACATAGAAAATGATACTGTATAATAAACATCCTGAAAGTTAGGCACTATGCAGAAATATAAACACATACTTTTACTTTAGATACTAATACATGGCACATTCACATATTAAAGTGTATGAATGTGCCATGTACATTTTATGAGTTATATGAACCAAAAATGGATTAAGTACTTACACTGGAAGCTGGAATTATGTAGTTACTGCTTCTGTACTTTAAAGATTTCTAATGTAAGACTTGTAACTGAGTGAGTTCTAGGTATTATTTAGAACTATATTATAAGATATTAATATAAGGAGTGTGTCTCTTCTTAGATACACATTCTTACTTATGATACATAACCTATTTTTCCCACAGCTGAAGTTCCCAGTTGACCTGTTGCTGCCAGAGGTACACACACACATGTCAAAAAGGACCAGGTACCACTAATTTTCAGTCTTATCTGCATGTATTTATCAGGATAAAATCTGCCCATACACAACATTAATTTAGCAAGGCTCCACTAAATAAGATTAGCAAGAGGAATGAATCCATCTATGACATGTTCATGTGGAAAGAAGATTATACTGTAAATCTGTGCTGTGGTCCTTTAGGTTGGGGTGTTAATAAAACAACAAGGTGTCATAAAATCAAAGTTAAAAATCTCTTACCTTGTTTATAGCTGGAGTCCGTAGGTGCTGTAAAACGCTCGTGCTTTTCACTGTCCTGCTCCTGACACCTGAGACACCCGTGTACCTGTAAACTGCTGAAGGGTGTGTTGTCTGGTGATGACGACACAGGTGATCATAGCTGACTCCCCCATGCTGCACCTGACAAGGATGAGCTTGGCTCCTCTGCTCCAGGTGTATATTACTCTGCTACTGTTGTGTTTATGTATACATGTACTTTAAGCATTATACAATAAGAATACCTAAGTGAAAGAGAGTCAGAAAAGAGAATAAAGATGACACAAGTATAAAGTTAGCTATGATTAATGTGCAGCAGGTTAAACCTCCCTGGATTTAATATGGATTTGTTCATCACTTTAAACAATTTGTCAAAGAAATGCTCTTTTTTTTTTTACTGTGGTGGCGTAACGCCTAAATCACAAAGCAGAAACAACTAAATAAGGGCTGACCATTAACAGTTCCATAAAGTGATCTCTCTCACTTCCTTAATATATTAATGTTTATGTCAGAGTGATTTGTCAGTTGGGTTCAATGTCTCCAAATTAAACTCAAATAACAAGCAAGAAGTAACTTTAAAATCAAGACTGTAAGCCTCACAGATTTCTCAGCACAAGCTTTACTGAGAACTGAGAAAACACCTCATGGCATTGACACGCCAGTCAAGTTAAACTGGTTTGTTAATAATCTGAGGCTTCCCACAAACTGAACTATGTTACCTGTTCAGAACGATTAATGATCAAATGATGACTAACTCTTAGCCAGCAATATATTGCTGTGTTGGAAAGGGGATGACAAAATGTTCAAGTAAGCTTATGTTTATTTACAGTGTGATGAAGGAAAAGTGTCAATTCCAGTTAACACACACTAGTCAATAATACATAATTAAATGTGCCAAAGAATGGGAGAGCATTCCTATGGAAGCTCACTACAGGAGTTAAATGACGTTTACCCATTATTTGGCCCCAAAGAGGGGGGTGTTATGTCATAACTCACAGGTTACACTGGTGTACAATTTAAAAAAATGTTTTCTGCTTCCAGATTGAAATGCGCTAATGTTTACAGATATTCAGGCGCTGATTTCAGATATGATCTCTAAAAGCTGACTGATATTTAGCATTTATATTTTATGCTGATGTGCAAAAAACAAATGACATATGACACCTTCTGACTTAAACAGAGAATGTATAACAAAGACCTTGATGCCTTGAGCTGGGGTACTGATGTAATAAAGATGTTTCTTGTGTTGCCTGAGGCACAATGCCAGGCTAATGTTTCACCTAAGAACCTTGTATAACAAGCAAGTAGTTTTTTCATTAGTTCCACAAAAGAGCTTTGCTTACAGCTTCTGGTTTTCTCACACTGGTAGATGTCAGGCAAGCTCACATGAAGGTGCAACTGCCTGGATTTTATACCCACTAAAGGAAATCCTTAAACTATCACGTAATACTTTATTTTGTTTTTAAAAAAAAAAAAGTTATGTAAGCATGAGTTTGCGAAACATGTATAAACCGAGCTGCTTCTGCATAGAAATACTAGAACATACGTACACTTCATTTTTGAGCTTTAGGTCACGTCTAAGATGAGAATTCACCGTTGTAACATTGTAGATAAGCCAAAAAACTGGGAAAAGCATGCAATTGGCCCTTTAATGAAATGATAGTCCTCTCCACCAGGTGGCAGTATACGCCTGAGGATTCTCAATTCGTTTTCTGGTCTTCTGTCAATGAAGAAGAAGAATCCTCACTGGGCTGAAATTGTGTTAATTTAAAGTGAACGTACGCTTTCGGTACAAACAGACACAAACGCGTGTGATGGGAAACTTTTAGGATTACAGCGTTTCGTGCTTTTGTCTTGTTGCAGGTTCAGAAACAGTGTTGCACACCTAGTGCTACCAAGCTGGGCTGCTACATGGCTAACTAGCCTGCTACATGGCTAACGAGCCTGCTACATGGCTAACTAGCCTGCTAGGCGAATACTTCAGGTGATGCTGTTCGCAAAACTTGTGTCTTGTCAGCATCGTATCATATTTTAGCCAAAATTGTCGTTATGTCCTTGTGGCTAACGTCGTGTAAGCGGTTTAACCTGATCAGCTTTGTGACACAGAGAGGTTTTCAGTGCCGCAGTAACAGACATACTAAACTCCACTTGAACGTTAGATGCTGCTCCGCTGTTCAGGGTGAGGTGAGGGTCAGGTTTGCGCCCAGTCCAACAGGTAAGGTCAAAATGCCGCTTAAGTCAACTAAAAAAAATACAGTCATTTTTTTTAATTTTTAAAAAACATGATATCTGTCGTGTCTGAAAATCTGCCTTTTTAGATACTTCCTTGTCTGTCTGCATTGTTTACTGCCTGTTTATACTGCTTGTTTTGCATTGTTTTCACTGTCGTTTGTAAATACTGTTTATTTAGTTATATTACACAGCCTTATGCTGGTTTACTGTTTACTTACCCCTTGCAATTCCTCATGTGTCTGACACACCTGGCCAATAAAGCTGATTCTGATTTCATTACTCGAATGTGTAATGTTTTAACAGCATATTGCTTTGTGTTGCAGGGTTCTTACACCTTGGAGGTCTCCGAACTGCTCTCTACAATTACATCTTTGCAAAGAAGTATGGAGGCTCATTCATTCTGCGACTGGAGGACACTGATCAGAGCAGACTGGTACCAGGAGCGGCAGAGTCCATAGAGGACATGCTAGAGTGGGCCGGTAAGAGAGAGATTTTTGTGTGCTGTAAATGTACATTATTACCTAGAGGTTTCTTTGTCTTTCATCTAATGCATTGATTTGGTAATTATCATGATTGCCAATGCACTCAGAGAAAAATTACTGAAATCTTGATAAAATGCTGCTACTTCATTTTAAAAACGTTTTCCCACATACTACCTGAGCTCACTTTCACTTCCAGGGATACCTCCAGATGAAAGTCCACGTCGAGGCGGGCCGATGGGTCCATATCTTCAGTCGCAGAGACTAGGCCTCTACAGTCAAACAGCCCAGCAGCTCGTCGAGAGCGGTCACGCCTACTACTGTTTCTGCAGCCCACAGAGACTGGAGTTACTTAAAAAAGAAGCCCTGAGGACTGGACAGACTCCAAGGTGACTTAAATAACATGACTGCACACATGATTTCCAGTTTCACTTAAGCAAAATCTGATAGTCTCAAAGATGACATACATTTGGGCTTCAGGATGTTTTTGTGAAATTTAGGGTTTACCTTTCTCTCCAGGTATGACAACAGGTGCCGTCACCTGCGGGCTGACCAGGTTCAGGAGAAGCTGGCTAACGGAGCACCACATGTGATCAGGTTTCGTCTGGAAGCAGGAGCTGAGCCTTTTCAGGATCTGATCTTTGGATGGACTTGTCATGAGGTGGCACAGGTGGGATTTTGGATGGTTTCACTCTGTTTCAGTTGGGTTCACACTAAATGATGTAGGATAGAGTCGTGGATCATTTTTGGTGTGACAAGCATCAATTTCCTAATTTTCAATAAGCCAAAGGTTGTTTTTATTCATTTTTGCAGTTAAATTTACTCTTGTAATTTGAATCAGATGTTTGAGTCCTCAGGGACTGACAAAGTAACTTAAACTATATTATCTTTTTGCTGCAGCAAAAAGTTGAACTGGAAGTTACTGCATGTACCTTATAACTGAATTTACTCGTTTTTCCACCTGTTGTTTCTCCTCTGGCACCTGCCCCATTTCTCCTCTCACATTTTTCTTTCTTTTCTCTCCTCTCTTCTAGGTGGAGGGAGATCCGGTGGTGATCAAAGCAGATGGTTTCCCCACCTATCACCTTGCTAACATAGTAGATGATCATTACATGAAGATCAGCCACGTGCTACGGGGCTCAGAGTGGCTCATCTCCACCTCCAAACACTACCTCATGTACCGTGCTCTCAGATCCACCTTCCCCCCCCTGCCGCTTCTGATGAACAAGGATGGTAGTAAACTGTCCAAGAGACAGGGAGATATATTCATCCAGAGCTTTCAGAGAGATGGGGTCCTGCCAGAGGCCCTGCTGGATATCACAACTAACTGTGGATCTGGATTCAACAGTGAGTGATGGAGAGTTGCATTTACTTGCACACTTATATTGGATTTAAAATGACACCTGGAAACAGTGATTTGCAAATAGCAAAACACCTTATACATCTGCTTTTTAAATCAGCTTTGAAAGCATGAATATAATAAGAAAAATGAAATGCTTCAAAAGGACTTGTATTGACCTACAGCCAATCGAGTGGGGCGGAGGATAGATGAGCTGATCTCTGAGTTTAATCCTTCTAAGATCACTACACATTCTGCTTTGTTAGACCTGGAGAAACTCCCAGAGTTCAACAGGTAGGTCAGAACTCTTTTACATTGTACAACATAAGAATATCAATGGATTTTCAGTCACACTAGCCCGCGCCATATGGTAATCTGTTGGTCCAACACTTTGTTACAGAGAGAAATCTTGACAATTATTCAATAAATTACCATGAAATTTGATACAGAATGTGTGTGAGTTGTAATGACGATGGTCCCCTGCACTTCATCCACCACTAGGTCATAATTTACATGTTTACACACCTACCTGATGTTCAGAGCAAGATATATCAAAATCTAAGGACCAAATTCCCATCAGCTTCAGATGTATTATGAGCCAAATGCTAACATATCATGCTAACAGGTTAATAGTGTTGCTTTCTATCAGCTAACTGTTAGAAAATTCACATGCATGTTAACCTGATGCACGTTTGTCAGTACATACAAACTGTCGGTAGGTTGAGCCTAAGTACAGATGGGTTGACAAAGTGCCACTTAGACTGACAGATGAGCTTTGACTGAAACACTACATGATAAGATGAGCCTGATGCTGTAACCACAGCACAGACATGCACTTTAAATATGCACAAGCACATGGTGGCACCCTTTGACCAGATTTCACCTTTTTATCTTGCTAGTTAAGATGTCTAAATGTCATTCTCTCATTTTTTTTTTTATCTGTTCAACAACTGTGTTTTCTTGTGTGAAGCAAATGTTTACTCGGCTCATCTGGGTCTATTGTGGCCTGGATTGTACCTCGTGTCACTTTGGATGAAAGCCAAACAAACAGAAGTGGAATGTATGAACCTCATGTGGGGCAAATTCTTTAGTTGCTTCAAGTTATAAAGGTCATATAAAATGAATTTCTCCAATTGTGACAGGATTCACCTGCAGCAGAGTATTGAAGATGAGAAGCAGTGCCTTGTGTTCATAAAAGATTTGCAAGAACTGATTCAACAAGCCTATGCAGCAGAGATCCAGGATAAGGAAGTCCTACATGAGGATTATATCAGGCGGGTGCTACATCTTCGCAAGGTAACTGTATTAATAAATTTGTAAATACGTGTTTCTGCCATATCTTCAACATGTTAAAGGTTGTTGGTAAAGGTTTTGTTAGAATGTTTATATGGTAACTGCAGCCATTTTGAGCCAAAGTACAGCCGAGGCTAACAAAGCACAGGTTTAGATTGAAGGTTCAACGGAGCTGAGCCTGACAGGATGAGTAGGTAACAGCAGCATCTTCTGATCACTGGGCAGAAACCTGTCTGCAATAACTTAATATGTACATTGTGTTTAATACTGGATGTGAGAAATACTCAGATTGTTTGCTTAAGCAATAGTAGTAATACCACCGTTTAAAAATACTTTGTTACAAGTAAAAGTCCTGCATTCAAAATGTTACTTAAGAAAAAGTACAAAAGTAGTAGCATCATGATATACTTAAAGTGGTTGACCCTGATAAGTGGTATAGATGATGGATGGATTTAATGCCGTAGCTGGTAAAGCTGGAGGTAGTTTGTAGTATCCTATATGTGTAAAATTTGAAGTATTTTACATATTGCTGGTTTTCCCACAAAGAACGGACAGGGGTGTGATATTATTTGCTGTGACGTTGTGTATTTAACTCACTCTAGAATGGATGTGAGAAAAAGATAAATGTTTTTATTCTAAGTCCAGTAACCTTATTTTTACTGTTTGTTTCTATCTGCTGGTGATCAAATGCTGATTTCTCACTTCTGTTCTCCTGTTTTTCCAGTAATACTTCCTTCCCTCCTCTACAGGGTCACATATCCTCCCTGAAGGAACTCCTAAGTCCTCTGTACTCTTACTTGTGGGTGCGTCCTTCCTTCTCCAGCCAGCAGGTGGCAGCATTCACTGCAGAAGCCCAGCACATCGCCTCATTAGTGCTGAAGTGTGTAGTATGAGTAACACTAACTGCGATTCGCTTTATGACGACAGTGTTCTAGCAGGATTACACACATTTGTATGTCTGTGTGTTTAGATTAGTAGAAGAGCGAGGTGAGACGCTGGCAGTGGATGAGCTCAGTAAAGACCTGAAGACTTTGGCTAAACAGGTCAAAGGCACAAAGTACAAAGACGTGATGAAGCTGTTACGTTTGGCTCTCAGCGGTCTGCAGGTACCTGAAGGCTTCATGTACATTATGACACATACAAACACTAGAGGGTTTCCTGTCTGCAACTGGTTTAGTAGAGGTGGTAGGTCTTGAACTTGCATCCTTCTTCTGACTCTGATTAAATCTACCATGCCTAAAAAAATGACATTGCATCGGGGACAGCTCACAAGGCACTTTTCAAAACTGCTCAAACTACTATTGTATTCTGATGAACCGACACAAGGGTTATGTTTTAATTGTAGTAAATGTTATAGCTTTTTCTTTAAGCAGCCCTGTACAAATCCATAATATCCCAGTTTCACAAATGTCAACACTAATGAAGCCAGCCCCATATTATTCACCAGAGATTGTGCAGTTATGTTGAGTACCCACAATATATTTGCTTAAAACTATGACAATGAAAGAAGACTTGTGAGTTTAGTCACTCACCATACTTGCCTAGCATTACAATGCATTGCAGTAAAACCACCTCTATGACACAAAGTCAGATCACACCAAAGAAAACTGCAGTTGTCTGGATCTCACTGAGGCTGAGTTAACAAACCAAACACTGAACAACATGTTTGTTTTTCTTAGCCTTATGTTTGCATTTGTGTTGTTTTGTCAAACCCAGGGACGAGACCTTTGTAGTGATGGGCAGATGAAGCTTCATGAAGCAATGAAGCCTTTCATCCAATTGGTTCACTCCAGCGCACAGCTTCTTGAAGCTTCATTTGCTCTAGGACATCTACTGGATGCAACAATATCAGTTGGCATGAATTTGAATTTGTGTGGCATTTGCAGAAAGCCTGTGAATAAAATTGTCAGCAAAATAAAGAAGTATGCAAAACACATATATTGTAGTGATGGCAGTATACTGTGTATATCTCTATATATATATATATATATATATCTCTATATCTCTATATCTCTATCTGTTGCGGTGACTGGTGTGATTGCGTTACTTCACTGACTCCTGATCCTCTGTCCCCTCTGACCTGCAGCAAGGGCCCAGCGTAGCCGAGATGATGGTGTCTTTGGGGCCTGCAGAGATCAGCCATCGATTTCAGAAACTAATCAAACAACCTGTGCCTCATGGACTGACGGAAATCAAGTGAAGACGATGTCTGCTAATAAGGACACAGCCTGTATGTTGAGAGTTACATTGCTTAACCTCACACTGGGCGATTCTGGGACGCATTTAAAAAAAAAAGACTTGCACCCTACTGATTGAACTTAAATAATACTTAAAGTATTACAGATATTTTATTATATAAAAGTTGAAAACTTGCATATGGTCTGTTTGCTTTGTTCAATATTGTGAGACTTCACGGGACCAGGTGGCCCCATGCACCCAAGGATGGGAAGTACCTCAAATGTTTTTATGCAAATTGTTTTGTGCTTTACTTGGGAAAAACCGTTTTAACGAACTCCCAACATACAAATGTGTTGTAGAGTCACAAGGAAAAAACTTTCCAGTGAAAAAGTCATATACATTTCTCAGATGCAAAAAGAAGGACCCAAAAAACATTCCACATAATAAATAGCTCTTTTGATTTAATTTAGGACATACTTGCAAAAATGTGAACTGGTCCTTTAACAATACACCATATTTTAGAAGCCAATCATATTTTTGTATCTGAAATCCTACCCTGCATGACTAATGAATTAAAAAAATAGAAACAAAATTGAACAGTTATTGTTTGGGCTAAAGTTTCCTTCTTGCAGCTCCCAAAGCTGGTTTTCCCACAAAGAACGGACAGGAGTTTGATATTATTTGCTGTGACGTTGTGGGGCTGGTTTTCCCACAAAGAACGGACAGGGGTGTGATATTATTTGCTGTGACGTTGTGTATTTAACTCACTCTAGAATGGATGTGAGAAAAAGATAAATGTTTTTATTCTAAGTCCAGTAACCTTCTTTTTACTGTTTGTTTGTATCTGCTGGTGATCAAATGCTGATTTCTCACTTCTGTTCTCCTGTTTTTCCAGTAATACTTCCTTCCCTCCCCTACAGGGTCACATATCCTCCCTGAAGGAACTCCTAAGTCCTCTGTACTCTTACTTGTGGGTGCGTCCTTCCTTCTCCAGCCAGCAGGTGGCAGCATTCACTGCAGAAGCCCAGCACATCGCCTCATTAGTGCTGAAGTGTGTAGTATGAGTAACATTAACTGCGATTCGCTTTATGACGACAGTGTTCTAGCAGGATTACACACATTTGTATGTCTGTGTGTTTAGATTAGTAGAAGAGCGAGGTGAGACGCTGGCAGTGGATGAGCTCAGTAAAGACCTGAAGACTTTGGCTAAACAGGTCAAAGGCACAAAGTACAAAGACGTGATGAAGCTGTTACGTTTGGCTCTCAGCGGTCTGCAGGTACCTGAAGGCTTCATGTACATTATGACACATACAAACACTAGAGGGTTTCCTGTCTGCAACTGGTTTAGTAGAGGTGGTAGGTCTTGAACTTGCATCCTTCTTCTGACTCTGATTAAATCTACCATGCCTAAAAAAATGACATTGCATCGGGGACAGCTCACAAGGCACTTTTCAAAACTGCTCAAACTACTATTGTATTCTGATGAACCGACACAAGGGTTATGTTTTAATTGTAGTAAATGTTATAGCTTTTTCTTTAAGCAGCCCTGTACAAATCCGTAATATCCCAGTTTCACAAATGTCAACACTAATGAAGCCAGCCCCATATTATTCACCAGAGATTGTGCAGTTATGTTGAGTGCCCACAATATATCTGCTTAAAACTATGACAATGAAAGAAGACTTGTGAGTTTAGTCACTCACCATACTTGCCCAGCATTACAATGCATTGCAGTAAAACCACCTCTATGACACAAAGTCAGATCACACCAAAGAAAACTGCAGTTGTCTGGATCTCACTGAGGCTGAGTTAACAAACCAAACACTGAACAACATGTTTGTTTTTCTTAGCCTTATGTTTGCATTTGTGTTGTTTTGTCAAACCCAGGGACGAGACCTTTGAACCATTTTATACAGCTCATTTGTAGTTTTCATTTCTGCCATTTAATTTTTCAAACCGCACCTCAGCAAATCAGACGTTTTGGCTGCAGTAATCAAAAAAAAAGACTGGACTGTTGCACGTGTCCTTTTCCATCTGTGGCACGACTAAGCTAAACTTTAAAATCATATGATTCAAATGATAGTCATGAGTAATACTTCAGAAATGCTGCATTGACTCTCTCACCACAGTAAACTCTGCACAGACATGGGGGGAGGAAGTCATTTGTGACCGCGTTTGCCAGAGGTCTCTCTCTCTCTATATATACATATATATATATATATATCTCTATATCTCTATCTGTTGCGGTGACTGGTGTGATTGCGTTGCTTCACTGACTCCTGATCCTCTGTCCCCTCTGACCTGCAGCAAGGGCCCAGCGTAGCCGAGATGATGGTGTCTTTGGGGCCTGCAGAGATCAGCCATCGATTTCAGAAACTAATCAAACAACCTGTGCCTCATGGGCTGACGGAAATCAAGTGAAGACGATGTCTGCTAATAAGGACACAGCCTGTATGTTGAGAGTTACATTGCTTAACCTCACACTGGGCGATTCTGGGACGCATTTTAAAAATCAAAGAATACAAGAGGTTCCTATTCTGCATCCTCCATCATCTGTGTCCTTTGGTTTAATGCATTGCTGTTATTCTGTCATGAGAGAAGCCACATGACCAACACGACTATTGTCCCATTAATTCTTAGGTACAGTTTGATGAGCGTGAGGAAATCAAGCTGTGCACCATAGTGATTAATGATGACAAGGTTTTTGAGGGAGCCGAGAGCTTCCACGTGGAGCTGAGCATGCCTGTGTATGCACTGCTGGGCGGAAACACGCGCGCCATTGTCAACATCAATGACACAGAGGATGAACCGACTTTGCAGTTTGATAAGAAGACCTACCACGTCAACGAGAGCACCGGCTTGATCCATGCTCCTATTGAGAGAAAAGGTGAGGAACACTTCTAAACATCCCTGCTAACCTCTGCAGCTATTCTCTCATTTAATTGTCCCCTTTTTATTTCAGTGAAGGAGACTTTCTTTTCATGTGCTTGACAAATTTCCATATGTTTTCCACATCTGCTGTTGCAACACTTCTTTAAGACCTTATGATGCTTAAACGGAGTGATGTTTGAATGTTTGTACCTGGAAAATAGTTAGTAGGCATCCATTCATCTATCCAAACCCAGCTGACAGTGGGCGAGAGGCGGTGTCCACCCTGGACAGGTCGCTAGTCTATCACAGGGCCGACAGTGGTTGGGATGTGGCAGAAAGTAGTCCCATCAAGGCTCTTGGAGAATACAGAAAAAAAAAAGCCTTCCTCAGGATGACATGCTGAGGAAGGCAAGTGTGTTGATACATGATGTATTTTAATGTATTAGGCCAGTTTCATTAAAGACATTTTATTCTTTCCCATCCACTTTGAGTGCCTTGATTGGACTGGCTTCTGCCACATTCCATCCATGGACAGGGGTAGTTTGTTGTATATTATTTCCCCTTCAGTTCCGGGTTCGATTCCCGAACAACCCAGACCTACGGCTTAGGTTGATTGGTGACTGAACTGCCCGTAGGAGTGAATGTGGATGTGTGTGGTTGTCTGTCTCTATGTGCCAGTCCGGTGATAGACTGGCGACCTGGATTGGCTCCAGACCCCCACCACCCTCTTCAGGATGAGGGGTATAGGTATTGAATGGATGGATGGACAGATTTCCCCTTCAAGAGCACCACTGGTGGTGAGAGATACCTGTTGCAAATCATTTTCCCCCAATTACTGTTGAGTAACAGTCCATTAACATTTGAAGACAGGCTCCATTTGCTGCAGTTAAGTCAAAGTTCCACCACACCTCTGCCATAACTACAAAACCATTTTTACAGTGTATATTAAAAAGAGAAATGATCTAATTTCACATGGTTGGTCAAGCGTCTTGACTAACAACTGTGTTGTGAAAATAAGTTATGGAAAATAGTTATGTTCCACTTGATGTATGACCCAGACATACCTCCTATAGCCTGTATACTGCCACAGCTTGTGTAACTTACTTGTTCATATCTATTTATGTTTTATGTAAATGACACCATTTCATTTTATTATCTCGCATCACCATCAAACACTGAGGGGAGGGATTGTGTATCTTATAAAGTGTGTCAGGAGTGTGACAGGGCGTCACTGTCACATGTCACCGTAGTTTGACACCTTCCCCCCCGAGACGCCTTCAGACCAGCGCTAAATATCTCTGGGCTCAGCAGGAGATTCAAGGCAATGGCGACCGGTGACAGTCTGGCTACTTTTGAGTCATGGCTCAGTAAGTAAAAATCGGAGAGGAAAACTTTTTTTTATGTTTTTAAGATGTTTGGTTGTATATCCGAGCGAGCCGTCGTAACGTTGTCATCCTATATATAAACTAACTGTCGCTGCTTTTTTTAGGCGGCGTCACGTTATTCGATGGCTCGTGTCGTCACTTGGGTTTAATTTCTGTAATTAGACGTTTTATCTGGGGGTAATTTGTGAACGTGTCTGCTTATTTTATTTTAATAAATTGTGTTTGAACATTTTGCAGAAAGTGAACAGGAAGTTGGTTAGCGCGTGCCCAGCAGTCGCTCGAGTCATGCGCGCGCTCACAGCGGTAGCTTTTTTTTTTTTCCCAAATTTGATTTTTCTTTTTTTTTACGTTTTATCTGAATAAACGTAACAATGTCACAGAGAAACACAAGTATAGACCAAATATACAAAGTAAAATGAAATGTGTAAGTATTTGTTGTTAATGGGCTCCTGTTCTTTTCACTATGTCAGAGATTAGTGGATTAATTCATTAGTTGATTTAAATTAAATGAGTCACCAGCTAATCAGTTAAGAATGCCATAAAATACATTGTTCCATATTTTAAAATGTACCAATTGGCAGCTTTTCCTTGTCATATGTTGTAGTAAATCCAATATATTTCAAGTTTGGACTGTTCAGACAAAAGATTTTTTCCAGATCAGGCCACAGACCCAAATAATGAGGAAGACAGATGGGACTGCATCCAGGGGTTCTACCAGCTCGTCAACCAAGAGGTTGATGGGTAAGAAGAGCACTTTTATTTGTATCTACAGTTTAATAATTCTCAGATAGTGCATGGCTTTAGTTGTTTTCAAGTTCTGAATGTGAATGGAAGTTTTCAGTGCAGGCCACTGGCTTTGGGAAGTTACTTTGTGGTGGTGCTGGAGAAACAATTGCTTCACATCCATGTTGCGATCATCTCTGCTTAGTTACACCATCGTGCAAGGGTGAGGGGAACTTTACATTGCCCTTGTCCTCTGCCCGGTATCAGTGCCTAAAGATAATGCAGAGTACATTCAAAGCCAGCATGGTTGGAAAAAGTACACACAAATAAGTCATGCCACATTAATTGGTCCTACTTTTTAATGTTTGAGTTATATGTTTTAGGTTTAAACAAGCATGACCATGTCTGGCAGCAACATGGCAGCCTGTCTTTTACTGTTTCCATAACATGTTCAGTTTTTTTTCTGGCATTTTGATATGATTTAAAACTTCATGTTCTGCTTTCAGGCCACAGATCGCCATTCGTCTTCTTGCTCATAAAATCCAGTCGCCACAGGAGAAAGAGGCTCTGCAGGCTCTGACTGTATGTAATCAGACTCCTCATTTCAAGATATTCTGTCTATATTACACAGGTGTTGTACAATGCACAATGTGTTTTTAATTTGTCTTCAGTCTTTTAATCTCTGAACGTAGTTGTTCTTCCTTTTTAAAGTTCAATATTTTAACAAACCGGTTGCGATATGTGTAGGCATAGAGTATATCTGTTTCTATGTAATGATGTTTGTCACGGCTTGTAGCATTTATCACAGCATATTTAAGGATACAGTCCCTATATTGAAAAGAAATTTCTTTGCTTAAATTCAGTCTCAGTCTTGTGACCAAGTCACACGAGGAATTTTTTTCTGTACTTGAATCTGATGTGCCAGCACACAGTTTGTCTATAAGCTAAAAAAAGCTGCAGTGTTTCACTTTAAACCGTAGCCTAGAGTTGCTCATGTGCCTCCATTTCATGTGATATGTTGGTGGTTAACTACAAACATGCTGTGATAAAATCTGCCCTCTCTTTTGTGCTGTATAAGAACGAAAGTATTTCCTCTCTTATTTTCACTTGTTGAAAAAGCTTCTGTTATTGACTTCTTCTGGTTTGGTGCTTTTCAGGTTCTTGAGGCTTGTATGAACAACTGTGGCAAGGAATTCCACAAAGAGGCTGCCAAGTTTCGCTTTCTCAACGAGCTCATCAAAGTCTTAACACCCAAGGTACTGCTGATCAGAGAGGAATAGGCGTTCTTGGTAGCTGGAAGCAAGAAGCATCATGTATTCTTAATCTGTTTTTTTTTTTAATGATTTTTAAAATGATAAATCTGTTTGACCCCATCCCATTTAAACACCGTATTACACAATCTGTTATTATGAGAACTCCAAAAAGTGCCCACAAGAATACAATAAAAATGGCATCAAATGATTTGAGACGGTGTCTTAACTTCATAAAGAAAGTAAACAACTAATTTTACACAGTGTATATTAACAGATCCCCATGACAGATTATGGGCAAGGAAATTATTTAACTGGTACAGCAGTTAAAGACAGGAAAAAAAAGAATGAATTGCCCACATGAAAGCTTCTTTTTGAGTAATGACACTGATGTTGGTTGATCTTTCCTGAGCAGTACTTTGGTTCCTGGACTCCTCAGAAAGTTAAAGACAGAGTGACTGAGGTTCTCTATGGCTGGACGCTCTGGCTTACAGAAGAACCCAAGATTCAGGAAGCCTACTCCATGCTCAAGAAACAAGGTCTGGATGCAGTATACACATAAAAACACCAATACGTTTTCAGTTCTGTGCTCGGAGCACAGTTGCTTTTGATGCACATAATGCAGAAGGTGCACTTTTATGTCCCACCACTATGGTACGTGGTATAGAGTGTCGTAGGGATGATGAATTTTTGTAGCCCAACCCAGAAGTTAGCATTACCCTGGTTCCATCGACAAAAAGACAGTGGGATTTTTCCATAGGCTTTTAGATTATTACAGGAAATAAACTCTGTGACAAACAACATTTTACGACACTGACATGTTTTGTTCAGCAAGATAATCTTTACTAGTGAACATCAGTTTTATGATTTTTGAAGCCTAAATACAATCGTCAGAAGTAAAAAACTATTGTTAGACTTAGGTTTTAGCAGTCGCTGTTTTTTGAGATGCATAAAAAAAATCAACAATGGGTTATTTACTGACATTTTATGTTGTAGAATGAAACAGAATGTATTGGCCTTGTGTTAACCAGACACCTTATTTCAGGCATCTAACCAAAAACTCATTGACTTCAGATTGAGGGAACCAGAAGTGCAAAAATTCAGTTCCAGGTTCGAGGACTCTCTGCTACAGCACTTGATATGAGACAATATGTTGTTGTGCTGGCATCTGTGACTGTGTATTAGTACTGTGATCATATCTATCCTTTTGTCATGGTGGGGCATACACTAAGGCGAGCATCTCTCCAGCAAAACTAGTTATTCATGAGAAATATTAGTTTATACATATTTAACAATGCGTTATTAATTTGATATGTGTACTTCTTTCAATAATATAACCATCCTACCCTTTTTTGTCATTTTTTTTATTATTGTGTTATTTCAGGTATTGTGACTAAAGATCCCAAACTGCCAGACACACTTATAATGGCACCTCCACCACAAAGAACCACAGATTCTATTTTCGACCAGGAGGACAAGGCTAAGGTGAGTGTGTGTGTGTTTTTAACAGGATATCTCCTAATGTGTCATGAAGTTTTCATCCAGCTAATATACGTCACTGTGCCTTCAGCTGTTAGCCAGGTTATTGAAAAGTGGCCGTCCTGAGGATCTGGAAACTGCCAACAGACTCATTAAAAGCACCATGAAAGAGGTGAGGAATAGTGTGATAGTCCTTACATACAGTCAGGCAGAATTAAATATATGAATTATATGTGTGTGTCTGATTTGTTTTAGGAGCAGGAGAAGGTAGAGAAGGTGCTGAAACGTGAATCTACTCTGGAGGAAGTGGAGAGCAGCACCAAGCAGCTCAGAGAACTGCTGGACCAGCAGACAGTGACTGGGTCCTCATTACAGCCCAGTGATGATCTGAAGGTTTGTTGAACAAAATACAGAGAGGCATTCGACCAGCTGTGCAGGGCTGGCCATATAATGTAATTAGATTTTAGATGGCAAAGTGGAACTTTGGTTTGTTGTTGTTTTATCGCCATCTACTGGCCATCGACAGAGCTGTTTTCCTAATTAATGATTTTCAGGTTCGAGTGTGCAGTTTGCTTTTGGGTCACATTACATTTTGGTTATTTTAATGGAGCTTAAGCAATTTATACAAATTGGTAACAAGCTAAAGGAGTTAGTTGAATAAAAAAATAAGTTCAGAAACGTTTCCATGCAGGGCTCAAGGGGTCATTGAAGAGCTTGATGAATATTTAAAATGCCAAATAAGGGAAGCTCGTCAATAAAGATGCTGTTTTCTGATGTTTTACAGATTAATCGAGTAAATAATAGGCAGATTAATCTATAATGAAAATAATCACTAGCCACAGCCCTACCACATACTTTAATCTCATTATCATCTGTTTGAATGTGTAGAGAGCAAAATCTTTTGGCACAAGTGATACTGTTCTCTCTCTTGTGTTGAAATCTGTATTGCTAAATAAAGATTAGTATTTTGATGAGTGCTGTCCACTTCATATCTAGTTTAACATGGGTTCACGAAACCAGAGCTTAAAGTGAGACATTTAAGTCAAGAATGTCATGCTGGGTTCAGCTAACCTATAGATGTTTTCTCAGAGCAACACATTTTTATGTGAAAGTGAGAAAATACAGGTTACCCAGCATTTGATCTGTCCCTCTCGCTGCTGCAGGCCTTGTACGAACGCTGTGACCGGCTGAGGCCCAGTCTGTTTCGCCTGGCCAGTGATACGATGGACGACGACAGCGCTCTGGCACAGATCTTGGCGGCTAATGACAAGCTAACACTTGTAGTAAATGCCTACAGAGACCGGATTGGGAAGACGGAGTGTAATGGTGGAAGAGAAAGAAGCAGAAGTGAGGAAGAAGTGGTGGATAAAAATAAAGGTAGGTTCACTTTGTATACCTTGTGTTTTTCTTCTAGAATTCTGTGTGGAAAAAACCATGACCTTTTGTATTAGGCCCTGCTGTTTTCTGCTTGTATTTTATCCTGTTTCTTCTTGTTCCTCCAGCTCCTACAAGTCCCAGGGCAATTAAAAGCTACCACCTTATCGACCTGTCAGTATTGGACACTCCACAGACTCTCAGAAAAAATGATTTGCCACCCTCCTGTAAATCTTCTTCGCCTCTCTTTTCCTCTGGTTTGGAAAACACTGTCCATTCAGTAGCTGACTCAGGCTTTAATGATTCAGGTAAACCTCCATTTGTACATACATCTGGTTTATTGTGATGAATGTGTTTCATTATGTAATGTCCTGTATAATTACAGAGTTTGATAATCTGGTCTCAAAACGGGTTCAAGAAACACAAAGCTCGTACTACGAGGAACTAATGCAGGTGAGGCTGGACTCAGGTTAAAAACATAGCTTTAAAGGTGATTTTATTTGGGAGAGCTTTTAAAATGTGTTCTTGCTGTTAGCTTAATGGAGATGTTCCAGTGACTGCTGAGCAGAATGGAGGAAGAGGCCTTTTTCTGAGAGCTCGTGGATGTGGGGGGAGCGCTACCACAATAAACGGGACGAATATTTGGTAATTATGGTTGTAAACAACAGACTAAATACCTGAAAGCCTACAGGTGGATTAGATTGTCTGTCCTGTGGATGCAGAGAAAGTTGACAGTGACAAATGTTTTTTGTTTAAAGAGGAATCAATTTTTTTTTTTTTTATGTAAGAAACGGGACGGAGCACATGAAAAACATTAACATGCTCAGACTATTTTATAAGATATACATGACAAAAGCATCTTGCTTGAATTTCAAAGCCAAATGTAACACCGCTGAATTGTCTTATCTTTTTTTAACCCATACTATGTCTAAACCAAGACTCTTTTCCTTATCAGGGGTCTCCCCCAAAATCAACAGTTCACAGGATTACAATCACCGCACATGGCACAGAAACAACCAAGTGAAGTGTTTGGGGAAAGCTTGTGTCCACCTCACTCACTGAAAGACATCCGTGTACCAATGGAGACCGTCAGACCCAGTATGCACCAAAGGCCACGTACAGTTTATATGGAGAAACAGCTAGTTTAGCCCTTTTTATGGCTTTGAATTTCTTAATATTATTCTGCTACTATTGATTTATTTACAGTACAGCCATTTCATCTGTTATGTTAATTGCCCACTGGATGTCCTGTCCAAAACGTCTTGTTTGTGGTAGGTCAGCTGGAACCAGTTACTCTATACGACCAGGGCGGCATCCATGTGTCACTTCATTTTGCCAAAGACTCTCCACCAGGTCATCCAGATGTTGCAGTGGTCGTCATTTCCACCGTGAACACATCTGCCTTTGATGTGAAAAACTTCCTGTTTCAAGCTGCTGTTCCCAAGGTAACAAACCCAAAAGACACCATCTTAATTTGTGGAGTCTTTAAAAGATTTATACACATTGTATTTACAATTCAAAAGCTTTTTAAAAATATGTAACACAGGTGTGAAGTCAAACCAGTCCCTCCAGTAGTTTGTTGCTGACATGTTGCCCTTACACAAAATTCACTTTGAGATTCGATCTTATTTGTTTATATTAAGGTAAGCTCACATGAGTTTGCAAATGCCTGGAGATTATGACCATTCAAAGAGATCCTTAAACTAGCACTTAATACTTAATTTTGTTAGAAAAAAAGTCTCATGAATGAGAGTTTGTGAGAGTTTCTTCTGCATAGAAATACTACAACATACTGTATGTGCACCTCATCTTTTGAGCTTTAGGTCACATCCAAGATGATAATTCACCGTTGTAACATTGTAAAGATAAGTCAGAATACAAGGAAAAGCGCCATGGGCTCTTTAAAGTATTTGCAATAAATCTTTTAACTGCAGTTAATTGATTAATCATTTACATGTATTATAAACCAGATAGTTTTAGTTCATATGTACAGTATTTTCTGCTCCAACTCTCCAGCACTGAGCTGTGTCATGTGTGAAAGTACCATTTCTAAGAAGTTGTGCCATTGACCAGAATATGAAGGTTATTTAAGAGTTGAATATCTAATTAATTGTCATTTTGCAGATGATGTTAGTGAAACTTCAGCCTGCCTCAGGGACACACCTACCTCCTTATAACCCTCTCCTGCCTCCACCTGCCATCTCGCAAGTCCTCCTGTTGGCTAATCCTCATAATGTGAGTTCATGAATGTGAACATGTTAGCGACTCATCTCTTTAATTCTATTTTAATAGGCACAGTTTAGATTTTATGTGTGTTATGTTCATAATTATGATTTTTATTATGTCCCACCACTGTGGTACATGGCATGCGGGGCATTATGTTGTCATGCCAGTGCTTGTCATGCAGAACAACACAGAGAAATGTCATACTTACACCACAGGTACCACATGTAGAGTAGATGATCTTACTAGATTTTGGTGTACCTTGAAAATACAACATGCAGCATACCGGTTCTTAACATGAAAGCTTCAAATAAACATGTTATTCTTAGAATTAGACATTATAATATACAGTATGTACAGTACTGAGTTTCCGTATATTTTAAAAAATTCAAAAGTTCTCAGCTGTTTCCCTAAAATTCAGCCTTTCTTTCTTCAGCATAAGCTGCGTCTACGCTACAAGCTGACACTGACACATGGAGACCAACAGCTGAGTGAGATCGGAGAGATCGACAGTTTTCCAGACTGGGCCTTGCTGACTGGCCCCTAAAAACATCAGCGGATTATAAACCAACTCTGCACAGGACCTGAAACCTCCGTTTAAAAGCAGAGAAATATAATTGAGCCCTGTGTGAGAGAAAAGATCAACAAAAAGGTGGGCAACATGACTACAATGACTACACCTGATCATCATCAGGTAAACCACCATCACAACAACGAGCAAATATCAAGTCTCTAGTTCTGGAATAAGGACATTTTACCTTTTAAGACTTTTTACATTTTATAATGTTGTGGCAAGTATGATGTGTGCCAAGAAGATGCATTACTAAAAAGGTGGGTAAACTGTTGATTCAGATATTCACCATTCTACTGTTGTCTTAGTGCGTGCACTCAAACAGCAGGCAGCTGTTCGAGTGCACGCATAGGTTTAGTGTGACATCATACATGCATTCTGATAAGTAGCTTGTTACATGGCTAAATATAGAAGTAAGCAAAAAGAAATGCAAATACAAAAACACTGCAACACCAATAGAATGCAAGTTTCTTAGGGACAGTAAAAGCTGACGATCGTTAATGAGCAAAGATAGTTGTGTTGTGATTATGCATTTCTAATTAGGAGCATGTTCATCTGTTTTTAGTGTCCCCCAGACTGTGTTTTTCTATAATTGCAATGTATTAATGTGATATAATCAGGCTGGAGAACATGTTGCTTAATATATTTGGGTTTTGTATATTTGCAGCTCTTTTCCTAAATGGAGTTTTTGTTTTGTCAGAGTTGTTTTTGTAGCTGTACTGAACTCTTTCAGCTGCCGTAGATTTGACTGTCACTACACCTGTTAATTTCAGTTGACCTGATCAGTTTCCCAATCACTAGTCATATACTGTGAAGCCTTATGATACTTTTATGAGCCCAGAAATGAGTAATTCATTGCAACTTGATGTGCTTGCTTTTTGTCCACAAATCAGCCTCGAGTTCAGTCTGTTTTAAGGCTTATTTGAATGTTTTGTTGAACTCCTGATGTTCGGTCCGACAGTCTGATTCATGTCATCAATAAATGCAATCTGTTCACAGCCCAAAATCTGTCGTAGCAAACCATCCCAATCCAAAAACTAAATGGCTTTATAGAAATATCCTGAACTGTTGCTATTAACGGAACTTCCTTAATTACAAATGTTATTTTTACACCATCAGTTAATCTGCCAGTTTTCTCAAATAAATTAGTCATTTGGTTGAGAAATTACTGAAAAGTGTCATCAGCAGGGGTGGGCGGATCGATCCTAATATCGATACTATCGATTCCAACGCTAGTATTGATATTGATCGATACCCCGACAAAAATATCGATACTTTTGGTTGAATTTTTACTCCCGTATGTTTTTTCGAAGAGGCGACCTAACTATCTTGTCTGTCTGCATCTCTAAGTAAGTGCCTGTGCCTGTATGCCAGGCTTGTAGAGCGAAGCAGACACACACCAACACCCCTCCCCCTCCCCCTCACCCCTCCCTCTTGCTTTGATATCTCACGTGACTCAGCGACTCGGGCCAGCAG